ATGGGTGGGTAAGATTACAAAGCAAAGAACAATTTTTGATTCTGTAACACAGCCATATAACAAAACATAAATTTTACTAGTTTAGTGTTGTCTGAATAAAATTAAGCCAGACAAGGATGAGTTTTGTGTGAAAATGCTGCACTGAATTTTATTTTCTATTTTGTATCTGGTATAATATGTTATTAGAGCTGGAGGAATCCTGAAAATCTGGCTACCTTGAATGATGCAAATGACAGGTTGTTTTTCATACCTGATTTTCATTCCTTTCATTTTTTTTTGTCTTTTTAACAAGTATAAAAATTAACCAAATACAGAGTGCTGCAAGAAGACACACATTTATACATATCTCACATATATGTATGAGAGAGAGAAGGAGAATGTGTGCGGGGTGTGTGTCTGTGTCTGTGTGTTTGAGATATAAAGAGAAAGACAGAGAGGAAAGACAGAGGTACAGGGTAAACATGTATGTAAAAATTGTGGTGCATTTGTTGAAAAGAGAATAGTACCTGACCCATAGATGAATAGACAAGGGAGTGAATAACAAAATGGGTAGAATAAATTCAGAATTTGTATCAGACAGAATTCCTAACATTCTTTCCTGCTTTCAGTTTTCAAGGGGTAAGAAAATGACCTCCCAAAACCACTCTATGGTGATGAAATTCACTCTCTCAGGACTCACAGAGGACCCGGTGCTGCAGAAGGTTCTCTTTGGGGTGTTTCTGGCCATCTACCTAATCACACTGGCAGGGAATCTGTGCATGATCGTGCTGATCAGGACCAATTCCCACCTGCAGACACCCATGTATTTCTTCCTTGGCCACCTCTCCTTTGTAGACATTTGCTACTCCTCCAATGTTACTCCAAATATGCTGAACAATTTCCTGTCAGACCAGAAGACCATCTCCTATGCTGGATGCTTCACACAGTGTCTTCTCTTCATTGCCCTGGTGATCACTGAGATTTATCTCCTGGCTTCAATGGCGCTGGATCGCTATGTAGCCATCTGCAGCCCTTTACATTACAGTTCCAGGATGTCCAGGAGCACGTGTGTCTCTCTAGTCACTGTCCCCTACGTGTTCGGCTTCTTTAATGGACTCTCTCAGTCACTGCTGACGTTCCACTTATCCTTCTGTGGCTCCCTTGACATCAACCATTTCTACTGCGCTGATCCTCCTCTTATAATGCTGGCCTGCTCTGACACCTATGTCAAAAAGATGGCAATGTTCGCAGTTGCTGGCTTT